AAAAAAACACAACAGAAAAAAACACAAAACCTTGTGGTTATGAATTATTCTCATAAATGGGTTTCCTCCAAAAACTGGCTCAGATCCAGCCTCAGGCACAACACACAGCTATCTGTCTTAGATAGCTATATAGAAAATATTACGGTTTATTTATACTTTATTCCCCTAAGAAGTATTATTTCTGTGTTTGAAATTAATCTTTTAAGCCATGTTATAATATTAGAAAACAGAATTTAAATGGTATTAACACTCATAAGATTAAAAATAAAACACTGATTCCACACTAGTTTTGTTAGATGTTATTAAATATAAAATTAACCTTAGTCATAAAAGAATAAGCTTGACACTATTACAGCAAGCAAAATGATTTCTGAATCTGAGAACACACTGTTTTGCATTTTCAAGTTATTACATAGCTTCCTGGTCATAAAGCTTATTAAATAAAACATATTTACGTTGACACCAAACAGCGGGGAGCCACATCCATTCGGTGGGGAGGGTTTATAACCATAACGTGGGTGAGGTTTAGATCCTATAAAATAAAAAATGAAATCCTTAATTTAAAATATAATGGAAATAAATTATATACTCAAAGCAAATCTACATTGTGCTACACTAGACTTAGAAATGGTGTTAGGTACCATCGAGTCAGAACTGACCCATATCTGACTCTGGTGGGTTTTCAGAGGCAGTTAATCACACGGGAGGAGTCTGCCCATCCTTCTCCTGCACAGCAGTTGGTGGTCTCGAACTGTGTCTTCAAGATTGCCACTAGGCCACCAGAGCTCCCTAGCCTTTGAAATACACAGTATTTATTTGGATGGTGATTTATGTGAATATGTGTCTTTATTCTGGTAAGTATTAAGAATACTAATTTTGTTTATAATTTAAATTTTTCTGTGATGAGCAATGTGCAAGATATACAAATATTACCTATATTATGATATGTACCTAAGTAGCATTTCCTAAAATGTAAATTTTATTTGAAAGCCCATGTCCTGGGAGATATATGAAAGCTTATGCTGAACATCTGACTGCAAGAGTTGGTAGAAATCTTCCATTTCCTCCTCTTCGGTTCTCGTTGCCAGTGCATATATTTGAATGACAGTGATATTCACTGGACTTCCTTGTATGTGTATGGATATTATCCTGTCACTCACCACATTGTATTTCATGATGGATCTAGAAATTATTTTAGTTACAAAACTAACCCCATTTTTTCTCAGCTTTTCATCCCTGGCATAGTAAATCATATACTATCTGATTCAAAATGTCCCATGCTGGATCTAGAAATTATTTTAGTTACAAAACTAACCCCATTTTTTCTCAGCTTTTCATCCCTGGCATAGTAAATCATATGCTATCTGATTCAAAATGTCCCATGCCCAGCCATCTCACTTAGCCAATACCTAGTATGTCAATATTTATGCGTTCCATTTCTTTCTTAACAATGTTCAATTTTCCTACATTCATGCTTCTCACATTCCACGTTCTAATCCCTAGTGTCTCCTTATAGCTAATCCTCCTTCTTTGTGTTTCCATATCTGAGATCTCAGTCTCAATTGCTACGTCTGCTAGTCTAAGTGCTAGTCTGGAATGCAAAAGTTGGGAACAAGAAAGAAGGATCAGTAGCTGGAAAACATGGACTCAGTAAAAGAAATGAAGCTGGAGACAGAATGATAGAATTCTGTACATTCAATGATTTATTCACTGCAAATACCTTTTACAAGAAACACAAACGCAGGCTATACACATGGATTTCACCTGATGGTATGCATA